TTAAGCGAAGCTGCGAAATTCCCCGCCTCCTCCCGCAAGCTGGACAGCGACCGCTAAACTTTTGTGCTGTACATTTCGAATTACAGTTCGTTTTCTTCTCAGGGCTCTGCTGGAAAGTCAGGAACGTCTTCGCGGGTATATTTCGAATTTCTCTTACATGCTCGGGTTTTCTGGTAGCTACTTCCGTAATGGAGATGATAACGAGGACCGTGGCGATGAACTGCTTGTTGGTAAGTTCAGCCAATGTGATAATGCGTCCATACTTCGCAATCGCGCGATATCGTGCGACCACGACTGGGGGCGCTCAACCGCCAAACGATGCTCCGCAAAAGCACAATTCAAACCGGCTTGTGCACGCGGTCCAAGCTGGATTCTGCTCTGCCGCGGCGTACCGCTTGGCGGTGGTGCCCCCGGTCGCATGATATCGCGATCGCAAAGTCTGAGTGCAGTGTTAGGTTTCATTGAATCGATTGCTCATATCGTCGTATACAGATTTTACTTTCAGAGCTGGCGCGGAATTTCATTTGGTTTCCTCATATGTGGCGTCATAATCACGCTCACGAACACAATTTAACTTACATGGAAGCAACGATGACCCAAAATTTCATGTTTGCCCAGGTGCGGTCGTCTGAAACTGTTTTATTACTGTTGTTTGTTACAGTGAAATTAACACCTGATGGTTTCCTTTAAGAACATGCGACTTCCGGTGAAATACCCTTACGCCATAGCACCTCAGCATGATGGTGTGTACCCGGTACACTCAGAGCTCTATAAAGCTTGGAAACGGGTTAGTTCCATGAAAATAGGCTACGAAAGTGAGATTTCTCTAGCCACATTTTTAGGTATGGAAAGTAGAGGTGACTGCTACTGAGGAGTATCCACACTTCAAGCCAGCTCTAGGTAGACAGGGATTCATCCACATGAATATATCGGTAAGAAATCGGAACATAGCTCTAGAAAGCGTTACATGTGAAAGGGTGCTAATAACCTTGGTGGGGGGAGGAAGGGAGGGGATCACCTTTTGTGTACATTTGTCGTTGTTTTTTTTCTTTGTGCTCTCACAATAGTGTACTTTCCCTCTAAATCCTGTAAATTCCTTTCAACTACTCGGTGAACTCCTGTCAGTCTTAGCTAAATAGTATAGCGTCTCCAAAGGCACGCCCCGTGTTCAGAAATGGCTATTTGTAGCTACGCTTCAAACCACTTAGTGATAGGTGTAAGCTAACACTTGCAAGAGAGTCGCCCCCCACCTTGAAATATCATTAAAACACCAATTTAGAAGCAAAGAAAAACAAACATGGGAAAAGCCGAAGACACTCCCCACACAGATGTATCCGTGGTCGCATCCGCTTTCACCAGGTTGAACCGCTCTGGACGTGTGTAAGACATATAAAAAGCGTGATTGGAAGAATTCTCACTTGTTGGTGTCAACTCTTTCTCCTTGTCACAGCACTATCTCCTCCCGAAATGAAGAGGGTTAGTGGCAAGAATAACCGCCTTATCAGGTAAAAGCTAAAAATAAAAGTTGGGCGTTGCCTTGGCCAATGAGCAGGGCCATGGCCTAGTCGCTAGTGGGACGCGTTTTCCTCGTATTTTTGAGCTGCGATAGTAGTACATCCTCTATGCTTGCGGACAGAGCTACCATGTCTGAAGCAAGGTCGCCAGAACATCGACAGTGGAGCGCGGTTCTTTGAAACGTAATTTTTTATTAATTTATTGACAGTCCGCTTGTGGCAGGATTTTGCGGGGGTGCTCAACAGATTATAATAAGGCTTACAGGCGTTAGACAGATTATATCTCGGGCGTTACTATACCGATGTATCACAGTTTACAGCAATTCAGCTGACAATGTCGCTTACACTAATGTGTTCCACCCCCATTTTCTTTCAATGTTTATTAGCGCCGATGAAGGTCCGGTGAAAAGTGGGAAATTCGAAAGTACACGGAGGAAACAAGAGATAATGGCTATTTTCGATTATTGTAGGTTCTTCCACGTCAAACATGCGGCCTCTACACACATACTCAGTTTTTCCACAATTATCCTGGCGGATTCTCTAAGCTGACGAGTTTAATTTATGGCGGAGAGCTCTTCTTCACAATACTCATGAACCCGGTGGGTATTTGCAATCGTTTACTGATTCGGTCCGTCCAGATTTCTATTATTGTCTTTTTTTCTTTTATTATGTTACATGAATCATCAACTTACCTCTTTATTTTTGAGAATTTTATATTCAGATATCTATATTTATGACACACCAGCAGAATTTTGCCCACGATCGATTGGCATTGTTCGCATTCGATAACCTAGCGCGTTTCATCAGCTGCTGGACTAATATTCAACTGCGCTGGCAGAGTCCTATTGAATCAGCACGGATGTATTTTTCATTGATGCCTCAAGAAGCTGTGCCCTTGTGGAGTGTGAGTATCAACAAACATCTTGTTTTCAGTCTTCAAAATGGGAATACACCGAGAAAAGGTTGATATAAGAAACTTCGGTGGCTTCAGCTACTAATCACTCTTGAAGAAATGTGTCTTGAAAGAAGCTCGTGAAAGAGAACAGGAAGAATTTAGAACCCCTGTGAAGATCCACGACACAAAGCTATTTTACCACCGTCCTTGAACTGCTCGAACTTCACGCTTCCAACCACTCTTATCGTCGGTCCACAGAAAACTGGTGAGCGAAATTCGGCAGTTGGTTTTTAAACGTTGCGTTTGATACGAGCTCTAGGGGTACAAATATCATTAACAATCAGGGAGGTCGTACGTTGAAGATCCGTAGCGAAGGGTACCGTATTTGGTCACTGGAAGGAGGGAGTTGTAATAGCCCTTGTGAAAAATGTTTTCTGTTGTTGACTTTTTGGTTTTTTCTGTTTCAAGTGCGCTATATACCCTCTCCGTCTCTCTCCCTTCCTCTCCCCGCCCTACCCCACGACTGTTTTCTGAGGAGAGCGGGGAAATGAAGGAAGTTCCAGGAAAACAATACGAAAAAGCGGTCAAAAGTTGGGAAAGTGTAGGAATTTGGTAGGTTAGCTGGGAACGGGGAGGACATACCGGAAGGGAGGTCGTTTTTTGCAAAACTTTTTCCCGACGGCAATTTATGCCCTGTTTCCCTGTTCATAATGTGGATGCTCCTAAAACCTACAGGAGTGCTTAATAGGAAAACAATCCCAGACCGGGTCGAACGTCACGGTCACCGGACTAATGCGTCACTGGGCATAGAAACCATCAGAGTGAGAGGGTGGGAACCGCTTTGGTGGTCTGATGGTTTCCGGTTTCCATGCTCGAGTGGTTACACCAGCTGCTGGTCCGAGCCCTATAGTCCAGGTCTTTTGCCCGTGAATATTCTTGTAATAGTTTCAGAAAGGGAATTTCGGGATTACACAGTAGTTATCGTGAAATAACATTGGGTCGGCCCATAAGTAATACCGTTTTTTTTTCTCACTCGAAATATCGCGCTAGAGATGAAAAGTTTTGCCAGTGAGTCTTATACTGTTTTGCAAAGAATTCCTTGTCCATACGCTAGTCCTTTCAGTTTTTTTTTTTTGAAGTTTTCTTTCCACTAATATTTGAGTGCTCAAACTGGAGTGTCAGGTCGACAAAATTGAGCATTTTCGACAGCCTTTCTTTTGCTTCTGATTCAAAGCTAAAGTCGCACATGCTTAGTTGCTAAGCATATGGGCCAAAGGGGCTATGTCTATGAGGAATGCCACAACGGTTTGAGCGTTTCGAAAGATTTCAATTTCGACCTCACAGACAAGCACCGAACCTAATGTCCTATTGAGTCCAGCTGAGAGCTGTATTACCTTATTCATAGAGATTCATGCCAGAGATTTATTAATCGTTCAAAGTGATGGCGTGCTTCCTTATCATTATCAAGCATCACCCTCAGTTCATGTGAAACGTTCGAAAGTTAGG